ATTCCTACATCATCAGGGTAGATGAATTTACTAAGTACCGATCGGTTCCTGAAGCAAAATCTTAGAGTACAGCGTTCTAGTTTGGCAATATAAGTTTGATATTGCCAAACTAGAACGCTGTGCTCTAAGATTGCCAAACTTGGCTGAAAACTTCGCCTTACAAATATTTTGTCTATAGATATTTATAAGGCGAAGTTTTCAACCAAAAACTGAACAAGCTAGCGCGTGGGAGCATCCCAGTAACATCAATAACATGAGATTCTCAAACCGCCTGTGTGGTCTTTGTTGGGTGATAAACGAAATATCCAGACAATAACTGATAGGTCATAAATCAAAAATGACAAAAATCGGATTATACCGGGTTGTGATGGTTACAGATGACTAAGCTTAACGATAAACAGCAAAACCAGATGAAAAGCTTTGCCGACCAAAAACGGATGTAAGTGATAAAATTAACGAATTATATAAATGAATGATAAAGGTCGATGAAATATGATGAGCTCAGGTGGAAAATCACTCGCTGAGAATGATAAATTTTGTTTAATCATATTATTTCGCAAGACTTTTCGACATTTCGCGTCTCAGTAGTTCCACGGAAACTGTGACTTCGCTAACCTCGAAATAATAAGTGACTGCAACAATAGCCGTATTAAAACAGAAGCTCAAGCCAATCCCTGTAACGACAGCAAATGCGAGCAGAAAATGCCATATATTGAAGGCCAAAACTGACAAAAATGCGCCACCAGCTGCTATCAGTCCACCAACAATTGTCATGCGCCTGCAAAAAAAAAGACATTTATTATGAAGAATTAAGTTTATTTAAATCATAATCGCTGATAAAAGTAGAACATCGAACGCTGGCTGTAACGGAGAAAGCGATGGAGCAAAAGAGGCTTGAAAATGTCTCTTCCTGGCCAAATAAGAAAAGTAAACTCCCCATCAGATGAATCGGCGTGCAGTATAAACCTCACCAAACAAGTAAAGTATGATGGAGGGGACTGTTATGGTGCCTATATGTCGTATAGGCGGTGGGGTCCAGTCTGAATGTAAGGAACACAAGATCGAAAAACCTAACATATTTGAGTCTGGTATCCAGAAACTAACACCACTGACAACGGGATCTCTAATCCGATCGTCGGGATGCCTAAGGTATTGCTGGAATGCGCAGATAACAAAAAAAAA